TTGTTTAATTATCTTATGTGGTTGTTGTGCTATACCATTTTTTCTGAAGGCAATTATTTTCGTTACACACTGTAAGTATAAGGAGGATGGCAGGAAGTGGCTAAAGATGTTAAGGAGAAAAGAGTAGTTTAGCAACAAGGAAAGGATTGTTTAACTGTGGAACCCAAGAATTACAGCACTAGTAATAGTAAAGGCATTTTAGAAAAAAAGCGATTAATCAAGGTAATTCTTTAGTCTCTTTAATATTTAACTTCAATTTGAGCAACTTGACCATTCTCTTTTGTTTTCACGCTGATTGAATACCAATACTTTCAATAATCTGTTTTTCAGTTCTAATTGCCTACTTTTTCTTTAAATTATTTATTTTGTCCAATAACTCTTGCTTCTGTCTTTTACTTCACTCTTCAGACTTTTCTTGAAACTTGGCTTTTGATTTCTCAGCTGTAGAGTAATCTGTTTATTTGACATCATGAAAAGTTGTCATGCATTTCTTTTGATTAGGTAAATTAGGAAGTTCTTTCTCCTTTACTATAACTTTCACAAGTATACTTACTATCAAACAAATCCAAGTCAATTTTGGTCCACAATTTTCACACTTAGGTACAGTCCTACTACTACCTCATTTGTACCCCTATTACTATTTACTATTAATATTGTATCCCAATCTCCTTCTTTTCAGCTGGGCAGATTTCCCTTATTATTATTGTACATCATAAATCTACTAATATTCTGGGTCAGCTGTATTGCTATGGGTCATAATCAAATTTGACTTTGCACTTTTTCCATGCTTGGCTTGGCTTGTAATGTTAATCAGTATATGAAATGGTTGAGAGGATGACATAGTATGTTGCTGAAGGAAACTAAATCATTTATGCACATAGTATTGTTGTATGGCAGTAGCATTGAGCATCACTGGTCAATAGATTAATTATAATATCATAAAATATAAATAATCTACAATATACAATACTAACACCTTATTAATAGGTAACATGGTTGATGTAAATATTAACACTATATTTCCTTAGTTCTGACCAACTCTTCGAGTTTAACAAATAGTGATGAGGGAAGCCCAACAACGTTGTAATAGCACCCATTAATCTTTTCAACAAATACTGAAGCTATCCCTTGGTATCCGTATCCTCCAGCCTTGTCAAATGGATCTCCAGTGTCAATGTAAGCTCTGATCATTTCCTCGCTGTTCTTCCGAAATATAACTTCTGTCTCGTCCACAAACGAAAGAACTATTGGATCCGATGAATTACTCTTTTTATATATCAGACTTATCCCAGTATAAACGTAGTGCTTGTTCCCGTTTAACTTGGACAGCATCTCGAATGCGTGATCAGGATCTCTTGGTTTCTCCAATATCTCTTCATCTAAACAGACAACAGTATCAGCTGATATGATAAGATCGGCATCAAAGTTTAAGCGAGTGTAGACTTCCATTCCTTTTTCCCTCGCATTTGCGAGAACGTAGTCTTTCGGGGAATACTTTGATTTATCTAGAGTCTCAGGGAAAGTGCTTGGTACCACCTCATGCTTCAGCCCCTGATATAAAACTGTAGTATTAATAGATCGCTGATACTGAGTGTGTGATAAAAAAACCCAATATTTTTGAACATTCACCAGTACAGCTGATAATATCTCTTTACGGCGTTTGCTTCCTGAAGCAAGTACAACACGTTTTCCTCGAAGGTGTTGGACAAATGGAAGAGAGAGAGACATTTAACTTGCTCTCAATCAGAATCAAAATTTTTTACTATCTGGACCGGACACATGACCAAATCATATTTGGGTACAATATGCCAAAAATAGAATTGTATGTTAGTTACCCGTCACGTTCTAGAAAACAGCGAGCAACGGCATATCTATTATATGTATCAATTGCATAGCCGTTTTTTACGTAACAACACAGTCACACTTTGTTCCTGACGTATAGTGTCGTTTTTATTGCACACCCCATAATCTTCGCACGAAAATGCTATCTATAGCATCTGTCAAACAAAGTAATGACATCTTTAACAATTTAAAGAGATTTACCCTTTGGCATCGAATCGGCATGACACCACGCCTTAATTATTATTGTGATGTGACGAATAGAGCTTCGATCGGCCCAGAACTGTTCTGTCCCTTTCATTACGCTTCTCATCAAAGACTGCGTACAATAACAACCAATCGGGAAGCATGCAATTGAAAAAAAACCTGCCAGAGATGGCATAACCTTGGATGGTCTGTGTTTTTGCTTTTAATACCAGCTTTTCTGAGCTTTTTGAGAGGCCGTATTTTGATTAGGCCTAAATTATAGTCTTTGGCTAGAATTGCTTGGCTTTTACACATATTCTATATCACTAGTGACAAGATTTCTACGTATGATGTGTTTATTACGTATGACAAGTATTATCAAGACCTCGTATGTGGCTTTTCGACTATGATAAGGTATGGTTTTTTTGTTCTGGGTTTCCACGTTTCTTTTATCTTTCCCCATTATACTCTATTAACGCCTCACGTTGCTTATCTTATCATCGTCGCTCATTAACAGCAGTTCAGATGTCTATGCCAAGAAGACAGTAACCATCGACAATATAAAGAGATAAGTAACAAAGCTGAAAATAAACCATTACGGGGGTATAACATCCCGAAATTTCTATATAGTAATCGATTGTAGAAACAAGAACTTCAAAAATATAATACAAAAGAAAAGGCATTGGTAACAAAACAAGACAATGCGTATCACTTTCAACATCCTAAAAATCCAATGTTACTTACTGATCAGCGACAGAGGAGCTTTCCCGCCAATTTGGCAGACGAAAAACCCATGAACGCACAGGCGGGAGTCCACTCGCCGATTGGCAGACAGCTTCACATCCCCCCTGTAGCTCCTACTAGGAGTACTGATCGGTCCATCGACATCAATATTACTGAAAGTTTTTTTGGATGAACGCCAAGCTCGGTACGATGATAGGAGCGCGACTTTTCTGGTCTGTTAAAAATCTTTGTATCTCAAGATTTCACGATCTGCAGACGTAACAGTTCAACGTAACAATGAATGGGGTGATAGTAAAACTATAATAACAAATTTCCTTTACACCTTTACTCAGCAATTACCTGAAGACGCAACAAATACCTACTTCGATACGACCAATTTGGGGTATCAGCGAGGGAAAAAAACCAATCTCGGGTATTATACTCTTTCACACAATAAAGAAAACGAACCTCTCATCTCTCAAAACTCCGCAAACTTGTCACATCCGTAAGGTTTGTATTGCGGAAGCGATGCAGATTCAAACAACAACAAAAAGACTAGTTCAATACTTTGCAGCAAGAAATGTTTATCTTCTTATTCGAGTAACTGGACTATTCATTCGTCTCATTAAAATTCTTTGGTATCTTGCTGATTAACAGACTATCTGTTCATTAGAAAAAACTTGTTTAGTCGCAATAATACGTGTATTTGTCTACGTGGTCGCTCATAATAGTTCATAATCGCTCTGTAATCGCACATTCCACATTCGTTTCTCGGGTACCGCTAAGCAAAGCAATTAATTAGATTAATTAAAATTGGTTCTTTTACCAGAAAGACTTAGTAGTCGCTTTCAAGCATAAGTATGCCAGTTTCGGGTGACTCTAGAAAGAAAAAAAAAATCTTATCAAATGTTGTTACTAGTAGCGCGTTGGATGCTCTAAGATATACAAAGGAGTTAAAGGCTTATATTCAACGACAAAGCGAAATTGATCCTGTTAACTAATTTAGAAAAAAAAAACTTGGCAGTGCAAGAAAAAACAGATAAAAGTTGATATACTGTATTTTAATCTTGTAACGATGCTTAGGTTTTAACAAAAGTCAAATCAGTCAAATTTAACATGAACATATAGTAATAGTAGAGATTGAATTCATTTGTTGTTTCAGCCTCAGCCAATAATATCAATTCGCGTAATGTAAACCTTTCTTTTTTATTATGTTGACCTCCTTTTTACTATCTTTTGGTAATGATCGACGCTAAAATATATACTATATAATAGCTAGTAGCAAGTAGCAAGTAGCAAGTAGCTATTGTGGCCGCCAAAAATACTTGTTAGAAAGACTGTGCTTATATATAAAAAAAATAATTTGGTAAACAAATATTATATTATATTACCTACAACACAAAACCAGCAATCTTGCTTTTTTTGAATACATCAGTATCATTATCGAGAGACGGCACATCTTTATCAGACTCAAAAAAAGCGAATAAGTCTCTTGAATGAAAATATTTGACATTTTGATTTGGCGCAAGGAAAATTTTACTACTTCATGAGATAATAAATACTAACTACTACAAATTATTTTCGGCACACTCTGCACCCCCGTGGCGAATAAAGCCAAGAAAGGTTTGTATCGAATAGAAAAACCAAAAAGCAAAAAAGAAAGATTGGTAACTTTTGTTTAAATAAATGCTCCATATTTGCTACATGTTTTATTGTTCTAAATACGGAAATCTCTCTTCCGAGAAATTTACGAGCCCTATTACTTATTATTATCTATAAGAGGCCAATCGATTTGCGCGCAATGTAACACAATTAAGGGTTGGCACTTTAACTTTAGAGATAAGATATTAATTCAACTATTATCATGCCGTTATTTGCTAATAATCCAGCCATTACCAACTTGGTTGAACACTCCTTGGAAAGCGAAAATAAACACTTAGGACTGGAATGGATTCCTTACAATGAAATCACTAACGTAAAGCCGACTCAAATTGACAACGTTTACTACGCTATTCGCATCATTATGACTAGTTATGTGATAAGCATCCAGATATTCTTACCACGGGTGTTTGGATTTACATATC